GTTGCCTTGAGTTTGCAATGCATAGTTCAAAACAGCCCCCGCTCAGCTCTGGGATATATTTTAGTCAAACCACAACAGCCTTTCGTGCGGCTGACTGAAATCACTGCTTTTTTTTCCTGTGTTTGCTCTGGTCAAGTCATTTTATTTCTGTATCTTTCCCTCAAAGAATTCAAAGTGGTTTCCATCTAAGCTCCCACACTGCTGTATTTCAAAAGTAAGAACTATGAAGAAAGAGTTTCAATCTGAATCCCTATCTTTTAAACACTTGTGTGGAGCACTGGCTTTTATGTTTGCTTAGCCCCTTGCCCTATATTATCAGTATTAATGGCAGCTTTGCCTTTAAGTTCAATGGAAATAAAGTCAGGCTCTGGAATTCGGTGATATCCGCTTGCTACAACAGAGAGTTCTTGTGTTTTAATGACAACTGAAGTTACACTTCTTTTACTATCCTATTTCTGTTAGATCTTTGTTTGTCATATCTCTGTGCTTTCTACTAACACATGAATACTGTCATTACCTTTGTGTAAAAGAGCTGACCATGAATGTTTGCTTGACTATCTTACACAGATCATGTTTCTACAGACTGCTTTCGTCCCAGGTTAACCTTTCATGCTTTCCCAGCTCCACTTTGGACTATAGTCTGAAACTCTCACACCCCCTGCATAGAATGTTATTGTCTGAATAGTCCTACTAGTTTCATGAAGTAAAGTACTATTCAGCAAGAGGGTAAAAAGCAGAATTTTGCATAGTTTTCAATATTTTGATCAATTACAGCTCTCATAAATCTTTTTATACATTTCAAATACATTTTACTTGTGTGACACATACTAAAAGCTGTTATTTTTTTCAAGAACAAAGTAATACCAGGGCTCTGACAATGTATGTGTATAAAATGATTACATGGCGAAGAAAGCCATTTAGATTTCAACACTTATGTAAATAATCCAATTATGCCTTTAGACAAAGCCTAGTTAAATAGGGTTAAAATACATGCAATCAAATTGTGCACTTATTAAGTAGAATTTTAGAATGTCATCTCTCTCATGAGCATAATTAGGTTGCAAAATAAATCTATATGTAAGTAAGTAGAGTTCTTGTATTTGGGGATAAACAAAAATTACAGATGAGTCATCATAATTATAATGATCCAAATTTACAGTTCACAGACAGTAGGCTCATAAAAAGGTTTTGGTCTCTCAAAAAAAGAGTCATTTCCGGGCCAGAATCCAATCGAGATAATCAGTTTTTCTCTGCCCTACCTCATCACATGCCATGGTCAGAATGACACAAACAGTGAAGATGTTTGTAAACCTGCTTTGATACCATTTACAACTTATCTCACTTGTTTTTCTACCACTATTCACTTACACTGATGAATGCTGATGATCACCAGGGAGCCTAACTCTATGTATTTGGCACGTATTTACACAGAAATCTTTTTTTTTTTCTTATGGGCTCACAGGGATGAATCAGAAACTTTAAGGGAAGAAACTGAGGAAAGGATTCTCTCCAAGTGTTTTCAGTTTGCACTATGGGCGATACAAGCCAGTTACATCAGCTGTCAAGCCACTTCTGGTGTCATGGAAACTACAGCCAGGAGACACCTGTCATGAGGATTTCAAAAATCTCAAGGACTAGTGGTCCTAATTGTGTGTGTGCCTTTTTTATGGCTGCTTTTTGTAGCTTGATTATAAAGGGAAGTTAAATTGAACAGGGCAGTGGCCATAATTACAGTAGTAATCCACTTCATATCAGTGTCTTGCTGGTTTATCCCTCAGTAACAATGAAAAACACCCACAGCACCCACTCAGGCAACTTCTGAAAACGTTTCAAGTGCTTGTCTGGAGCTGGATAGCAGCTTTTACTAGACTAAGTCTCCCATTGCTCTTTTGTACACTACCTCTTCAGCAGAAGCACACAAGTTCACCCCTGCCTATGCTTTTAATCAAATTTATGACCTTTAATTTCAGATGGTTGATTTTTGTAAATCTTCTCATTCTTTGCGGTAATAACAAAGCATTTAGAATAAATACTAGCCAGGAACTCAAAGCTACTTTAGGTCGTTAATATTATCTTCTGCTCAGCAGGGGGTAAGCAAGGTGTGTTTCTGAACTGGCAGGGCCTAAAATCACTACAGAAGAAAAACATGTAACACAGTTTGGCACAGACTGCCTAGGGAGGGTGTGCAGCTGCCAGCCCTTGAGCGCTTTTAAGATTTTTGAGAAATGTCTCTCAGGAATGAAATACATGGCGCTCATCGAGTTTCAGGCCAGGGCGCAATCTCTCACAGCCCACAATTCTGTATTGGTGGGAAGAGCCAGGCACAGCTCCAGGGTCTTGTTCTGAACAGCACAGGGACACATACCCCAACTTTTGCCTCTCTCAACACTGGCTTTTTGAAGAGATGGGCAAATGCTTTAAGTATAAACAGCAGCATTTGGTAGCAGAGACTGCTCACACACGGACCCCGTGCTGCCTAGGACCGGTCACAGCCGGTTCCAGCCGGTTCTGTAACGGCTGCAAAAAGCCCTCCGCCCCCCCCACAC